TTCAAATTTGGTATTTGAAGTTCGTAATGGACACTACAGCCTAAGACAGAAAATTGTCTGTGCAGGTCCATCCCTTCGTATAGCCCCCATATAACGGTACCTCCCGATATTCGGTATTTATACCCTACAACACTATGTGTTGGGGGTATTATAAGTTTGATTGGGCCAAAAATTATGTAACACCTCGAAATATTGATTTCCCACACAGGAAAGTATATATAGATCTTCCTATCTCGCCGAGCTGAGTCGATCTAGCTATGTATGTCCGTCAGTCCATGTTAATTTGTAATCACTCTACAGATCGCAATTATGGCCCAATCCTCACGAAATAGAAAATGGAGGTGGGGTTAGGGCCAATATAGAACCCTGTTGTATTTGGAGATGATCGCATAATATTTAGGGTTTGAAATATACCAAAAACTGAAAAATTTTCTGATTTTGCAGTTGCTCTATAGGTTGCAATTATAGACCAATCGAAGTGAAAGTCAGCACGGCACCTAGGGATACGCGCTGGGCAGAAGCCTTCCAATTTTGATGGTCATCGGGTAATATTTAGTGGGTGAAATATACCACAATATTTGTGTTAAATTAAAGACAAATTTTCCATTAAACCGCGAATATTTTCAATTCCGTCGAAATCACAAATAGACGAAGAGGTCAATTCTGGCCGTTACGTAGATGCCAATAGTAAATATATCGGCTATATATAGCGAAATATATACAATGTGTATATACAAAAGGAGACGATGTTAGCTAGAATGCTTATATCTCAAGAATGGCTGGACCGATTGTGACAAATTTTGTCAATTTAGAATGGTCTCTTGGCATAAAAGTAAAAAATAAAAAGAAGCCTATAATGATGTTAATATTGATTTTGTAGTATTTTGTGACATTTTTTTTATTTTTTCATATTTTTTATCGCAATCGATTTTTTCAATGTGACTAATAATATTGAAGTGTATATTTTGGTATATTTTTTTCAACTTACAACACAGGTTGGGGATATTATATACAGATTGCAATTATCGTCTAATCCTCACGAAAAGGGTAGGGTTAGGCTCAGAAGGGCTAGGCCTATTATATTCAAAGATGTCCGCAATATATTTAGGGGTTGAAATGGACCAACAACTAAAAAGTTCCTGATTTTGCAGCCGTTATAAAGGTCACAAATAAAAACCAAAGCACACGATATCTCGCATCAAGTTAGGGTTTAGGACAGCGGGTACCATAGACCACTACTTTTGTGTGAGAAAATACCAGCATTACATACAGGCGATATCCGAAATACACAAAAGGCGAACTTCTGGCTATTTTATGCTGATTTCGTTGACGAATATAGCCAAATGTCGTAGACAAGCAAATCATATAGATGAGTCTTAATTTGGAGATACTGAGGGGCATCTTGCTTTTGGAGATGATCGCAAAATATTGGGGGTTCAAATGAACCAAAAACAGAAAAAACTTCCTGATCACACAATTGAAGCAATTCGACACGCCTGAGAAGAGCGTTAAGGACAGGGAAGAATTCTAGCATTTTGGATGACCATTGGATTATATTTAGCTGTAAAATGGACCAAAACAACTAACAGCACGACGGAGTGCGTAAATATTGGGCAAATGTCCCTGGTCAAAATGCTAAGGGTAATATCTGGGCAATGCTCAGTGACATAATTTCAAAAGCGAAATCTTCCAAAATGGATTTGGACATAAGAGGCCTTCTAACATGTTGTAGTGTTGTAGGGTATCACATAGTCGGCCCCGCACGACTATAGCCTTTGCTTACTTGTTTTGATTTTAGCGACATTATTCAACGGAATTGCTTCGAATTTGGCATTTGGAGTTGGTAATGAATACTACAGCCTATGACAGAATTTTTTTTTCAAGTTTCCCATTTGAATATTATAACGGCTTATGACAAATGTTACCTATGGAAGTTCACGTCGTCATATAGTCCATAATATAACGGCTGCATTCGGTATTTTTAAGATTTTAAAAGAATTTTTAACGGATTTTATTTTTTTTTTAATTGCCAAATTCGTTCCATATGGTGGATGGTATTCAAAGATCGGCCCGGCCGAACTTACAGTTTTCTTACTTGTTTTGTTTCTGTTCGAGTTTACCTGTATAATTGTAGAACAGAATAGTTTTTTTTTCCGAAATCGGTTTGGTATTCATATATCTTATCATATTTATTCCCTACGTCACACTGTGGTACAGGGTATTATGTATTTGTGAATTTATTTGTAATATACCGAAAGACCCGTAGTTACTTTTGATAATCTATCTGTCTGTTCGTCCGTCTGTACATGTATTATTGTAAACAATTTACAAGTCGCATTTATTGTCTAATTAAGATGAAATTTTACACAAATTATTTGTTTGACCCAAGAATCCTATTGAATTTGGTGATAAATGGATCCAAATGAGATATAGCTCCCATATAGTGTCGTATGATTCCAAAAGTATTGTGCACAAAGTGCGTAATATCAGATTTGCATATATAGCTCCCATATATATTTTCGTTCGATTTCAATTTTAAAGCACGTCGTATATATAATATTCCTCCATACTTGATTGCCATATATCTATTGATTTCATATATACATTTTAATATATTCCTTCTCGAAGTCATATTCTTTACTGGTTTTCTACATTACTTAACAATCATTCCGATACAACTTACACCGCAACAGAAAGAAAATATACTCAAAAGAGCTAAAGCTTCGCTTGGCCGAAAGTGGTGAAGTGCTCAATTTGGTTTACTCCGATGAAAAAACATTCGTTGTCCAGCAGTTTGAAAACAAACAAAATGATCGTGTTTACTTGCCAAAGAGGTCAGCTGAAAATGTGCACCTTCGGTTGGCCACCAGAACTCAAGCGCCGGTCATGGTGATGGTGTGGGCCGCCATAACAGCCGATGGTCGCTCTCAGCTCGTATTAAGCGACCGTGGCATCAGAAAAAATGCCGAATATTATCGTGAAAAAATTCTGAAGGGCTTATTAAAGCCTTGGGCACGCAAACATTTTGGCCGCAGACCTTGGACATTCCAACAGGACTCAACACCATCGTACTCAGCACGCGCCACCCAAGAATGGTTACAAAATGAGGTTCCTCGCTTCATTTCCCGCGCACAATGGTCACCAAAATTTCCGGATACCAATCCGTTGGACTATTGTGTCTGGAGTATTTTGAAAGGCAAGGTTGGCACTAAAAGAGGCAGCGTGTGACGGTTTCATTGGCCGTTTGAAGGCCATAATTCGTGCCAGAGGTGACCAGTTCGAACAAATCTAAACTTATACTAAAATTTGATGCTATTTCCGACATTTTTTTGCTTTCATTCAATAAAATTTAAAAAATAAGTAAAAATTATGGCGTTTGACTTTGTTGCAGTTTTTTATCTCAATTGTAGGTCTCTTAGGACAAAATCCGTTTCAGGACATTTAGAGTCGATCTAGGGGTGTCCGTCCGTCTGTCTGTCCAGCTGGCTGGTGTGCACAATAACACTCGAAGGGAGTATCCAATTTTGTCAAACCTTGGTACATATATAAATCAAGTTCGGATATGGACAGTATCAGTCCAATCATTCTGGTACCTGTCCCAACCATATGGCTAGAGAGGGTATATATCATTTGATACGGTCAAAACGTGGCTCATCGAAATAACGTACATTTGGTGTCGATCTAGCTATGTCCGTCCGCCCGTCCGTTTGTCTCTCTGGTTGGTTGGCTAGTACGCACGATAACTCACGAGTTGACTATCCGATTTGATCCAAACTTCGTACATTGTAATATTATTGTCAAACTTAGGTCGAGTTCGGAGATGGGTCCACTCCTTCCGGACTCCCTCACCCCCTCCCCCACCCACAAAAGGTCTAAATTTAAAAAAAAAAAATTTAATGCACAGAAAGAGAAAGGATCAACTTTGCAAATCCTAATATTTGCATCAGTGGTAGATCAGGTGGAAAAATGGACAATATTGGCCCACTCCATCAAGCACCTCCCACAAAGGATCCACATTTTTAATAATAATAACTGTTATAAAATGTGTTGTAAAAGTCCGATTATCATCAAATTACATACATCACAGTATTTTTATTAACCCTATGTCTGGTGTGAAGACGGAATGTTTCGGTCCACTCCCAAAAAGTGGGAATATCCTCAAACAACGCGAAATTAACAACCGATTCCATTCAGACTTGGCATATCTAAATATTTCTATCAACACAAGATCTGTTATAATGATAGTAGAGATCGGACATTCCTTGTGGTACCTCTCCCAAAAAGAGTTAAAATTTCGAATAACCAAAACGATCATAAAATCCGACATAAGCATCCGGTTTTCTTCATATTTCTTACATCCCATTATTTCTACTAATACAAGACCTGCTGTGAAGATGGAATGTATCGGACCTCTCCTTCTTCTCCTCCCCCAAAAAGGGTCGCCATTTTGAATATCCATGAAGCTCATAAAACGCGAATATAACATTCGATTCCAATCAGACTTGGCACATCTCAATATTTCCATCAACACAAGATCTGTTATGAAGCTGGTAAATATCGGACCATTTCATCTGGTACCTCCCCCCCCAAAAAAGGTTAATATTTTGTATATCAATGAAGCTCGTAAAACGCGATATTAATATCCGATTCCATTCAGACTTGGTACATCGTAATATTATTGTCAATCTTAGATCTGTTATAAAGATGGTAGAGATCGCACAATTTCTTCTTGTACCTGCCCCACATAGGGTTCAAGATTTAAAAAAACAAAACGCCCAAAGAAACGAAATAAGCCTCCATATGAAATAGACAATATTGTCCCATTCCTTCGAAACCTACTCCATAGAGAGTCAGCAATTTGAATAATCATAACAGAAGTCAATATATATTGGCTGAGACTATAAATCTGTCGGCAAAACCGACTGATACTTTTTATCTTGATTTTTTCAAATTTGAATAAAGGGACCCAAAAAAACAAGTTTCTTCTTCTTCTTCCAATATTAAAATATTATTTTTATTTTCAACAAAATATTTAACACATTATTTAAACTAAAATCTATAACACTTAAATTCGAATAAATAAAACTTTGTACAAATATTATGCAACGGAAAATATTTTCTAATAATCTCGCGTTAATAATTTAACCAAATCTCCAATGTAAGCCTGTGCCATTTGCAGGGTTTCATATTTAGATAGACGACGATCGTGACCGAGTGAGGGTACAACATCGCGCAACTTTTCAAATGCATCATTGAGACTGTTCATGCGTCGGCGTTCTCGGGCATTGGCGGCAAGACGACGTTTTCGCAAAACTTCCTGGGAGCACATGGCGCCCGATGTGGATGCCAAGGACGAAGATGAGCTTCTGTTGATTTTTGTGTAAGATTTATATGATTTATTTTCAATATTGGATGGAGCGTATCGCAATGATTTCCCGGTGGTGGTGGTCAAATTGTGGCGATTAGATGTTTCTGGGGATGATGATGATGATGAGGAGGATGAAAAGCCGAGGCCTGTATTGTTCCAATGCTGTTGATGATCATTGCGTTGCTGATGATAGGTGTTGTAGAAATGCTCCAATTCATATGTGGAGGTTGGTATGGGGGTTTCCAATCCAAATTCATTGCTGGTATTTGAATCGGACATTGAATCATTATTATGCAGGTCCACAGTGTCCAGCTGGCAGAAGTTCATATCAATCGAATTATAATTCCCGGCGCTGTTTTGATCGTAGGCTGTAAAACTGCTTCCAATGGTCGAAGAATTGAGATTTTCACTTGGAGCCGTCGATGACAAGTATTGGGGAAAATAAAATTGTTCGCTAAAATCGTTGGATAACATTTTTAAAAATTGCTTCTTTAGGTCGGATGGCTGAGTTGTATTGTTCTTGATGTTGTATTGTTCCTTGAGAGGATTTTTTGAAACTGTTGCTACAACAGCATCCTGTGTTCACCTTTTATACTCTTAGGACACTTGCCAAGGAATCTTACCACTTGATTCTGATTGGCCATGGTAAATGTGGTAAGTGTCTTTACCTGTTGTCCGGCACTCTGATTCGTTGATGTTCCTTGTCTGTTGTTGCTGTCCTAAATCCTCTTAACTTCATAACTAGCCATGATCGTGTTACGTGCAACAAAACAAAACAAAAAGGTTGCCTCATAGCTTGTGGTTGTTGTTTGTTGTTACATTAAGTGTTGCATGTGCTGAGTGTTTGTTGTTGTTGCCCTATTCCGTCTTTTAGGCTATTGTTACAAATATTGACTTGTGGTCAAAACGTTTAAATATTTCTCTTTATTTTGTTCGAGGATTTTTTTGCCTTTAAATAATCTTTTATTTAGAAACTGTGTTTTTTTCAACAAATTTTTGTAAAACTTCGTTTTTGCAACGCACTACATATTTTTATACAAAACGTTACATACATATCCAATTATAATAATTATTGTGGCTTTTCTGTTTATTCCACAAAAGAAATTATCACTTTCCGTTTCTTTTATAATCTGAAATTATCCGAATGAAAAGAATTATTGTCGGGTATTGTAATTTTGAAATTTGTCCAACATTTGTGTTGCTCCTGACAGTGTCGTTCAATGATAGGTTATTGAATTTGGCAAGGTCAATGTGAAAGATGGGAATTTTTCTTGAATATTTTAATATGGGTTTCGAATCTTCGTTCAAACAAAGGTAAATAAGTAATAAGCCGAATTTTGAAAAAAAAAAAACAAAAAGTAAATCTCCACTCCACATTTTTCAAATGTTTAAGTAGAAGATAGGACAAGTAAAATCGGTTTAAGCCCAACAGGTCCGAAATGTTTATGTCCTCCACCACGTGAAACATTACATTATTATCAAATCGTATGTCCCACATTGTGGTGCTCGATTCATACCAGGGAGGTCAAACTACACCCGCAAATATTATTTATCAAATCATATGTCCCAACATTGTGGTGCTCGATTCATACCAGGGAGGTCAAACTACACCCGCAAAAAGATATTACTTTTAAGTTATTGTTTTGGTTTATAAGGTTGTAACAAATCACTAACCAACAAGTTGTGCGTGAAGTACCAGATATAGTCGACCGAAGTATTCCATTTGCATACTATATCTAATACAGATGAAAACAAGTAAGCAAAGACTATAGTCGTGCGGGGCCGACCATGTGATGCCCTACAACACTACAATATGGTAGAAGCCCCTTTATGCCCAAATCCATTTTGGAAGATTTCGCTTTTGAAATTATGTCACTGAGCATTGCCCAGATATTACCCTTAGCATTTTGACCAGGGATATTTGCCCAATATTTACGCACTCCGTCGTGCTGTTACTTGTTGTGGTCCATTTTACAGATAAATACAATCCAATCCAATTGTCATTCAAAATGCTAGAATTCTTCCCTGTCCTTAACTCTCTTTTCAGGCGTGTCAATTGGTTTCAATTTATTTTTTAAATTTTGCTATCATCTCCAAATGTACGATATTTGGCTATATTCGTCAACGAAACCAGCATAAAAAATGCAGGAGTTCGTCTTTTCTGTTTTTTTTTTATTTCGCCTGTAAGTTATTTTCGGTGTTTCGGTAGAATGGAAATGTTGGTATTTTTGCACACAAAAGTAGTGGTCCATTCTATCCGCTGTCCTAAACTCTAACTTCATGCGATAGTTCGTGTCCTTCGGTTTCTATTTATTACCTTTATAACGGCTGCAAAATCAAGACATATATTGCGGACATCTTTGAAAACAATAGGCCTAGCCCTTCTAACCTTATCCTTGTGAAAATGTTCGTGAGGATCGGACGATAATTGCAATATATAATAGCCCCAACCTGTGCCGTAAGGTGAAAAAATATTACAAAATACACACTTCGCGAAAATATTCTGGAGGGCGTATCAATGCCTTGGACAAGCAAACATTTTGGCCGCAAACCCTGGACATTCCAACAGGACTCAGCACCATCGCACTCAGCACGCGCCACCCAAGAATGGTTACAAAATGAGGTTTCTCGCTTCATTTCCAGCGCACAATGGCCACCAAAATTTCCGGATACCAATCCGTCGGACTATTGTTTCAGGGGTGTGGGTCAAAATAACGCAGAGCAACATTCGGGCAGCGTGTGACGGTTTCATTGACCTATGAAGGCCATAATTCGTGCCAAAGGTGACCAAATCGAACAAATCTAAACTTATTCTAAAATTTGAAGCTATTTCCGACATTTTTGCTTTCATTCAATAACATTTAAAAAAAAAATAAAAAAATAAGGCGTTTGAGTCATCCGATTTGATCTTTAAGTCCCTCACATTCGTAATATGCACTCTGCAACAATTTTATTTGGTCGGAAATACCTTTGCCAAATTTTATGGAGATCGGCTAAGGTTTGGATAAAGCTCCCATATATATCTCCAACCGGCTTAATTGTGCACCAAATGGCTAGTAACAGTCCAAATGACCTGAATACATCCGACCGAATTATGCCTAGAAGCAAGTAAATAAAATTTGGTGAAAATCCGATTTGGTCTTTAAGTCAGTCACATTCGTAATATGCATTCGATAACAATGATATTTGGTACCAGACATCTTATAGAGATCGGAAATACCTTTGCCAAATTTTATCGAGATCGTCTAAGGTTTGGATATAGCTACCATATATATCCTTAATCCGATTTCAGGTATATTGTGCAAATAATGGCTAATATCAGCCCAAATGGAATGAATTTCGGGACGTTCGTTTCCATTTGTTGGAACTCGGCTCCGGTATATGTATAATGCTTCTCGAAGTGATATCATGCACTCTATAGCAATGTTATTTGATATAAAAGATTAACATTTCTCCGTCAAATTTAGCGAAAATCGATTCAGAATTACCCTGAAACCAAACCAAAAGCCAAATGTTGAGAGGTGGGATGATTTACTTCAAATAAATACTCTACTAAATGTGCATAGTGGTGTAGGGTATCATATAGTCGGCTCCGCCCGACTTTTGACTTTTCCTTACTGGTTTTTCTTTTCAATCTTCATGTAACCTAGCGCGTTTTTAGTTCTTATAACTTATCTTTTATAGCCCCTACACGAATTTTTAGCATTGGAGTGGATACCACCATTACATTAGCTTCCCGACTGTAAGGAACACCATGGCAGAGCATTCATATTAATGACATCGTAACTAGGCCTGATACGTGTTGAAGTGAAAAAGTGTAATATTTTCAAACTAGCTGCAATTACTCATTCCTCTTCGTTAGGATGCTAAAACCAAAAGATTCCTTGAATAAAAGTTCGTTTAAGTTCTTCCTGTCATACATATATTTTTGCCTTGTTGTAAACAAACGTGTTATCGAATTGCTGTACAGCCAGACTTTATTCTCTTTCCCAAGCCTGAAGAATTTTCTTCACACGTGTCAGATTTTCGTCGTCCCTCATCCTAACCCAGTTAATTCAATAAGAAAATTAACAGCTAGTTACGTTGTTTGTTATCTTCTTCAACAATGCCCCCAAAAATAAAACTGTGTACTTGGAATTTGCATGTTGGTGGTTTGGGGTTGTGGTTTTCAAAACAAAACATTCCTACCGCAATTCACCATTTGTGATAACTTTGACCCATATTTTATGTTTACAATTTTCGGTACGAAAAACAATTTTTTAATCCTTGTTGTAAAATTGAAAGTTAGGTATTTCACACGAAAGCAGACAGGTCAATTCATTTACATATCGTCGTCATCGTCGGTGTTGGTGTCATGCTTCAGTGTTCCATACGCCATTTACCTGTTTCGAGAAAATCACATCTCACATCCCGAATTGCTTGGAGCGGAATGAAAATTGTGTTGATATTGTTGTTGAATTGTTTGGTTAAGAATATTATGTGAATTATATCTGGAATGTTTTAGACACGTGTCTGAAACAAAAATATTTTATATTCAAAACGACCATTAAGGAAAAGTCAAGAGTCGGGCGGGGCCAACTACATGATACCCTACACGACTTATGTACCTCTAGTGATGACTTCGATAAGAATTATATTAAACAAGTAAGCAAAGGCTATAGTCGTGCGGGGCCGACCATGTGATACCCTCCAACACTACAATATGGTAGAAGCCCCTTTATGTCCAAATCCATTTTGGAAGATTTCGCTTTTAAAATTATATCACTGAGCATTGCCCAGATATTACCCTTAGCATTTTGACCAGGGACATTTGCCCAATATTTACGCACTCCTCGTGCTGTTACTTGTTGTGGTCAATTTTACAGATAAATACAATCCAATCCAATTGTCATTCAAAATGCTTGAATTCTTCCCTGTCCTTAACTCTCTTTTCAGGCGTGTCAATTGGTTTCAATTTATTTTTTAAATTTTGCTTTCATCTCCAAATGTACGATATTTGGCTATATTCGTCAACGAAACCAGCATAAAAAATCCAGAAGTTCGTCTTTTCTGTTTTTTTTTTTTTATTTCGCCTGTAAGTTATTTTCAGTGTTTCGGTAGAATGGAAATGTAGGTATTTTTTCACACAAAAATAGTGGTCCATTCCACCCGCGGTCCTAAACTCTAACTTTATGCGAGATTTCGTGTCCTTTGGTTTCCATTTGTGACCTTTATAACGTATGCAAAATCAGGAACATTTTTAGTTGTTGGTCCATTTCAACCCCTAAATATATTGCGGGCATCTTTGAAAACAATAGGCTTAGCCCTTCAGAGCCTTACCCTACCCTTTTGAAAATTTTCGTGATAATCGGACGATAATTGCAATCTGTATATAATAGCCCCAACCTGTGTTGTAAGGTGAAAAAATATTACAAAATGTACACCTCAATATTATAAGACAAATTGAAAAAATCGCATGCGATAAATAATATGAAAAAATAAAAAAATTTCACAGAATACTACAAAATCTATATTAGCATCATTATTGACATCTTTTTATGCGATTTTATTAGATATTATTCTTTTATGCCAGGAGGGTATTCAGAATTGACAAAATTTGTCAAAATCGGCCCAGCCATTCTTAAGATATAAGCATTTTAGCTAACACCCCCTTCCTTTGTTTATATACATTGTATATATTTCGCTATATATATCCGATATATTTACTATCGGCATCAATGTTCGTCTATTTGTGATTTCGCCAGGCCTAAAAATATTCGCGGTTTAATGGAAAATTTGACTTTTATTTAACACAAATGTTATAGTCTATTTCACCCACTAAATATTACCCAATAACCACCTTCTATTCTATTGGCCCATAATTGCGACATGTAGAGATACTGCAAAATCAAGATTTTAGTCCATTTCAACCCCTAAATATTATGCGATCATCTTCGAAAGAAATAGCGTTCTATTCTGACCTTAACTTAACATTTCGTGAATATCGGGCCATAATTGCGACCTATAGAGAGATTATAAATTAACATGGACAGACGGACGGACGGACGGACATACATAGCTAGATCGACTCTTCTCGGCGAGATAGGAAGATCCATATATACTTTCCTATGTGGGAAACTAATATTTCGAGGTGTTACATAATTTTTGGCCCAATCAAAAAAAATATAAAAATATTTATTGAAGCAATAGATATACGGACCAATGGTAAAATTCGGTTGACAAATGGTAAAATTCGGTTGAATATGAAAAAACCTATTTAATTTGGGCTGATATTACATATATGGTGAGTAAAAAACCGATAAATCGGATGAATATATATATATCGAAGCTACATAAAAATCTAAACCAATCTCGATCAAATTTGGCAGAGGTATTTTCGAGCAGTATCTGATGTCCGGTATCAAAAATTTTTGTTGTGGAGTGCATATTACGCATGTGAGGGACTTAAACATTGAATCGGATGAAACATATATATTGGAGCTATATCTGAACCGATTTTTACCATACTCGAAGCGATGATATTAGCCATTTGGGGCACAAAAAACCTGAAATTGGATAAAAATATATGAGAGCTATATCCAAATCTGAACCAGTATTAGAATTTTTTGGCAGTGGAATTTCTGGGCTACATATGTTATCTGTTACCAAATATCATTCTTGTTGAGTGCATATTACGAATGTGAGGGACTTAAAAATTAAATCGGATGAAACAAAATAATTGGAAGCTATAGCTACATCTGAACCGATTTCACCAAATTTGCAGTATTTGCCACAATTCACTACATTTCGGCTGATATTTAGCCACTTGGTGCACAATAAACCTGAAATCGGATAAAGGTATATATATGAGAGAAATATCGAAATCTGAACCGGCCTTGACAATTTTTAGGCACTCATTTCTGAGCTATATCTGATATCTGGTACCAAAGATCATTGTTGTTGAGTACATATTACGAATGGGAGGGATTTAAAAATCAAATCGGATGAAACATATATATGGGAGCTGTAGCCATATATGAACCGATTTTGAAGTACTTGTTTCTAGGATGAATTTAGTCGGAATTGCCAACATTCAGATCATTTGGAGTGATATTAGCCATTTGGTGCACAATAAACTTGAAATCGGGTAAAGGTATGTATGGGAGCTATATCCAAATCTGAACCGATCTGGCAGAGGTATTTCTGGGCTATATCTGATATCTGGTACCAAATATCATTCTTGTCATTGTTGTTGAGTGCATCTTACGAATGTGAGGGACTTAAACATCATATCGCATGAAATATCTACAAGTATATATTTCACCAAAATTTGATGTACTTGCTTCTAGACTGAATTCGGTCGGATGTGCCCAAATTCAGATCACTTGGACTGCCATTGGCCATTTGGTTCACAAGGATACATGGACAGGCGGACCGACATGCAGAAATCGAATCAGAAAGTGATTCTATGAAGATCCTCAAAAGTAACTATGGGTCTATCTCGCTCCCTTCTCTATGTTACAAACAATTGCACCAAGACATAATACCCTTACCACTATGCATGATACAATAAGGAGGTAGAACCGCTTCGTAAAAGTACAGAAACACACCCCTGGAGCTATTGCCGCTTTCTGTGAGAATTATTCAAAATTAGAATTAACTGATTGTTTTAATTTATTCAATCTTTCCCTTATTTTGAATATTGATTATAAAGCTTTTGAAAAATATTATCCCACTTAATCAATCTCTCAATTCCATGGCATATGGTTATTACCTTTAATTTTGCGTGCTGCAATGTGCGTTTTTCCCAATCATTGCTTTTGAAAATATTTTGCTTTTTTATATACCCTCCACCATGCTATGGAGGGTATATTAACTTTGTCATTCCGTTTGTAACTCCTCGAAATACTCATGTCAGACACAACAAAGTATATA